CATAAAACTTTTTGTTTCATAAACTTTTGTTTCATAAACTTTTCAGTTTCTAACTTTTCAGTTCATAAACTTTTCAGTTTCATTTAAAATTTTCAGTTTCATAAACTTTTCAGTTTTCATTTAAAATTTTTAGTTTCTAAACTTTTCAGTTTCATAAACTTTTCAGTTTCATAAACTTTTCAGTTTTCATAAACTTTTCAGTTTCATAAACTTTTCAGTTTCATAAACTTTTTTAGTTTCATAAACTTTTCAGTTTCTTAAACTTTCAGTTTCATAAACTTTTCAGTTTCATAAACTTTTCAGTTTCATAAACTTTTTTCAGTTTCATAAACTTTTCAGTTTCATAAACTTTTCAGTTTCATAAACTTTTCGTTTCATAAACTTTTCAGTTCAAAACTTTTCAGTTTCATAAACTTTTCAGTTTCATAAACTTTTCAGTTTCATAAACTTTTCAGTTTTTATAAACTTTTCAGTTTCATAAACTTTTCAGTTTCATAAACTTTTCAGTTTCATAAACTTTTCAGTTTCATAAACTTTTCAGTTTCAATAAACCCTTTTTAGTTTATAACTTTTCGTTTCATAAACTTTTCAGTTTCAAAAACTTTTCAGTTTCATAAACTTTTCAGTTTCATAAACTTTTCAGTTTCATAAACTTTTCAGTTTCATAACTTTTCAGTTTCTAAACTTTTCCCGTTTCATAAACTTTTCAGTTTCATAAACTTTTCAGTTTCATAAACTTTTCAGTTTTCATAAACTTTCAGGTTTCATAACTTTTTAGTTTCATAAACTTTTCAGTTTCATAAACTTTTCAGTTTCATAAACTTTTCAGTTTCATAAACTTTTCAGTTTCATAAACTTTTCAGTTTCATAAACTTTTCAGTTTCATAAACTTTTCAGTTTCATAAACTTTTCAGTTTCATAAACTTTTCAGTTTCATAAACTTTTCAGTTTCATAAACTTTTCAGTTTCATAAACTTTTCAGTTCATAAACTTTTCAGTTTCATTTAAATTTTCAGTTTCTAAACTTTTCAGTTTCATAAACTTTTCAGTTTCATAAACTTTTCAGTTTCATTAAACTTTTCAGTTTCATAAACTTTTCAGTTTTTATAAACTTTTCAGTTTCATAAACTTTTTTAGTTTCATAAACTTTTCAGTTTCATAAAATTTTTAGTTTCATAAAACTTTTCAGTTTCATAAAACTTTTCCCGTTTCATAAACTTTTCAGTTTCATAAACTTTTTAGTTTCATAAACTTTTCAGTTTTATAAACTTTTCAGGTTTCATTAACTTTTCAGTTTCATAAACTTTTCAGTTTCATAAACTTTTCAGTTTCATAAACTTTTCAGTTTCATTAAACTTTTCAGTTTCATAAAACTTTTCAGTTTCATAAAACTTTTCAGTTTCATAAACTTTTCAGTTTCATAAACTTTTCAGTTTCATAAACTTTTCAGTTTCATAAACTTTTCAGTTTCATAAACTTTTCAGTTTCATAAACTTTTCAGTTTCATAAACTTTTCAGTTTCATAAACTTTTCAGTTTCATAAACTTTTCAGTTTCATAAACTTTTTCAGTTTTCATTAACTTTTCAGTTTCATAAACTTTTCAGTTTCATAAACTTTTTCAGTTTCATAAACTTTTTCAGTTTCATAAACTTTTTCAGTTTCATTAAAAATTTTTCAGTTTCATAAACTTTTTTTAGTTTCATAAACTTTTTCAGTTTCATAAACTTTTCAGTTTCATAAAATTTTCAGTTCATAAAACTTTTTTTAGTTTCATAAACTTTTTCAGTTTCATAAACTTTTTCAGTTTCATAAACTTTTTCAGTTTCATAAACTTTTTCAGTTTCATAAACTTTTTCAGTTTCATAAACTTTTTCAGTTTCATAAACTTTTTCAGTTTCATTTAAAATTTTTCGTTTCATAAACTTTTTCATTTCATAAACTTTTTCAGTTTTTATAAACTTTTTCAGTTTCATAACTTTTTCAGTTTCATAAACTTTTTCAGTTTTTATAAACTTTTTTCAGTTTCATTTAAAATTTTTTCAGTTTCATAAACTTTTTTCAGTTTCATAAACTTTTTCAGTTTCTAACTTTTTCATTCATAAATTTTTCAGTTTCATAAACTTTTTCAGTTTCATAAATTTTTCAGTTTCTAAAATTTTTCAGTTTCATAAACTTTTTCAGTTTTATAAACTTTTTCAGTTTCATAAACTTTTTCAGTTTCATAAACTTTTTCGTTTCATAAACTTTTTCAGTTTCATAAAACTTTTTCAGTTTCATAAACTTTTTCAGTTTCATAAACTTTTTCAGTTTCATAAACTTTTCAGTTTCATAAACTTTTTCGTTTTTTAAACTTTTTCAGTTTCATAAAATTTTTCAGTTTTCATAAACTTTTTCAGTTTCATAAACTTTTTCAGTTTCATAAACTTTTTTCAGTTTTTATAAACTTTTTCAGTTTCATAAACTTTTTCAGTTTCATAAACTTTTTCAGTTTCATAAACTTTTTTCAGTTTCATAAACTTTTTCAGTTTCATAAACTTTTTCAGTTTCATAAACTTTTTCGTTTCATAAACTTTTTCAGTTTTATAAACTTTTTCAGTTTCATAACTTTTTCAGTTTCATAAACTTTTTTCAGTTTCATAAACTTTTTCAGTTTCATAAACTTTTTCAGTTTCATAAACTTTTTCAGTTTCATAAACTTTTTCAGTTTCATAAACTTTTTCAGTTTCATAAACTTTTTTTAGTTTCATAAACTTTTTTAGTTTCATAAACTTTTTCAGTTTCATTTAAAATTTTTCAGTTTTATAAACTTTTTCAGTTTCATTTAAAATTTTTCAGTTTCATAAACTTTTTCAGTTTCATAAACTTTTTCAGTTTCATAAACTTTTCAGTTTCATAAACTTTTCAGTTTCATAAACTTTTCAGTTTCATAAACTTTTCAAGTTTCATTCAGCTATGCTCTCTGTGTTTCTTAAAAGATCATATTTCTAAATTTTCTTCTCATTTCATGGTTCTTGATCAGGGGTCGATACTTCCTGGAACAGTTAACAGTTGTAACATGTTAGTCGATTGCTATTCTCATCCCTGGATGACAGTGAAAAAATAGACAATATATAATACGATCCTATGTTGACGACGTTTCGCCCCCAGAGTGAGCTTTATCAAGTTACAAACAGATCTGTTTACTACTTGATAAATCCCACTGTGTGGGTGAAACTTAGTCAATAAGAATCGTATTATACTGTCATTTTACATTATACTGTCATTTTATACCATTTATCTCCACCAGGGTAGTAATATACCTCAGGGGGCTGGGCTCTGCAATGAGCCGGGTGATAGTACACCTTAGGGGGCTGGGCTCTGCAATGAGCCGGTTGATAATATACCTCAGGGGGCTGGGCTCTGCAATGAGCCGAGGAAGGAAATAAGTTGCGGAAATAAGAAAACGGGAAGAAAAAAAATTATAAAACAAATAAGTTCTTGAAGAAACACCACGAGCATATACTCGATCCTAACAGATAATGTGAAAGTAACACTGTAATCTATATTCACAGAGCGAACATGATGGAAAAGTATTATTACAATCATAACTCTGCGCTGAACCCACAAGGACAGGGGAAAGCAGTTAAGAATGGTGGAGGGGACCAAGAAAGTTGTAAGCAGGATTATTTTTATTATTAATAATCAAATTAAGTGCTAAACCTATAAAGGTTATATAGTTCTGCAAGAAGGAAAGAGGGAAGACGAGGGAAAAAGACAGAGGTAAATAAATAATGGGAAGAGTTAAAGGCATATTTCGAGCCTTTGGTTCATGGCAGGGTTGATTGAGTCACTGCAAGAGGGAGGGAGTAGTGCTGCTGAGACGACTGATGTGGCTCTATGACCACGGGCGTGGAAGTCGATACAAATGAGGATATCAGAGATCTTAATGTGAGGTAAGGGGGACTGTAGCCTTTTAGAGCTTGGCGTTGTGCGTCGTGTTACGAAAGCCATGATGGAATTAGCCGTAGTCTCCATAAACGTGAAGCATCCATCCCGAGTTTTTTTTTTTTTTAGATTGTTTGGACAAGAGATGGGGGAGTGAGATGAGGGAGAGGAGAGAGTGAAGTAGAAACCTAAGGAAAGTTTTATTATTCGTGTTATGAACTTCCAGAAATGCGAGGATTTTAGTGCGGGATATAAATTATGGGCAGACTAATGGTGGAGTAAAGAGTTTTATTGCTGAAGACATTAGAAAATTACTTTTTTTCTGATGTCGAAGCATTAACTTTACAGAAACTATTTCAAACCGCCCATTAATCTATTCTGGAATTTATTATTACAGTCAACATTAGCCTAAATTAACGGTAATATCCACACCTTGTATTTGTCACTTTCGAAGGTTTCTCTTACTCTTCTGATCTCCCTAGGAAGTTAAGATAATTCGACACAAGTGTTGAAACCATCAAAGTGTAATGATCACTTAAAGACAAGTTTAAAAAAAACCACATGGGGAAGGAAATTATAACAGATTTTCTGCTTATTTTTATCTCCCGAAGAGGTCATCTTCTTTTGAAAGAGGACCTTAGTTGCCTGTCGAAATTTACAGATAACCTCTTACTCTTGTCTCTGTCTAAAAGTGGATTTAGGTCTCACATAGCCCTCAAAGTTGTAAATATGAACCTGCTTACTCGTACTTAGTGCAAGATAAACAATTTATGTATTTTTACGAATTTCTAAGAAAGCCAGATAGGTTGAACTTGCCAACATGGAACACAAAGCCAGAATTCACTCACACGAAAGGGGCAGGATAGGGCAGGAAGGCAATACTCACTGCCAAGGACAGTAGAAATCCGGTACTCGCTCACAAGGAGAGCCGGAAAGCGGCTCTCACCGACAAGGAGGGACAAAAGTGCAATACTCATAAGGAAAGAGTTCACTCGCAAGGGTGTACGCGAAAGGAGAGGAAAGCAGTACACGCCCACAAGGAAGTCAGCACTCGCTCACAAAGATCAGCACTCACCCACAAGGAGGATGGTGAAGACACAGGGACGGTCAGCTGGTCCCACATCATTACTTGGCTGACACTCTGCCCTCTGAGCCCCACTACTGCTGTTATCAGCCACTGCCCACCCTACTGATGTCAGTCCAGTGTCCTGATGATGTAGAGGCGAACGTACCTGTGGAACGTCACACACACACCTATTAATCTGGTCATAATTCCCAGTGCTATCAATATTGTTTTTTGTTATAAAACTTCATAATAGTCATCGCTGAAATCACCACATCAACATTCTTTCTATGGTACTTCATAATTATTCTTCACTATCCCACAAGTGCTAAGTCACCACTAATACAAAAATTCTCGCCAGTCACCCAGTATTGTAAACAGCGTTTTACTTATTATGTACTCGCTCCATTAGTCTCAGTGTTGGTGAAGAAAAACTCGTTGTGAACAAGCTTCTATTGGAACACCCTTCCGCTCTGTGTAAAACTTTATCAAGTAATGGCTTGGTAAAGCTCTACACAAAGTGTAACGTTCTCCCAATGAAAGTTTTTCCGGCAACTTTCGCCTTTCCCTAACTTTTGTCGGCAGAAAGACATTGGCTTGCTTGATTGCTCTCAAATTAGAACGATTAGCTTACCTGTTCCATGTTAGGGGTGAAGATAACACTTTCCCAGGTATAGGAGAGCTGCGGTGGAGACGCCCTCACGCGACAAGTCATCTCCACCTTCTCTCCCACAGTAGCTAGCACCTCCTTAGCACCCTCCCACTCACACACGGGCGCATCTGACAAAGAAAATTAGATGAATTATTGTTTCATTGCTATTATGCAAATTAACCAACGTGAATGCTAATTCACTTAGCTAGAAGTTCACGGGAAAACAGAAAACTTGGGGTTTCACACAAAGCATAGGCTGAATTTTACTTTCCTAATTAGGGATTGTGCTTATTTAGGTGTTTTGAAATAATATCCCCTGCGAAAAGAAGGTTGCTGGGTTTTTTCCTTTTGGGGGCAAAAGCTCAAAGAACGGATTCTCTTGGGGCCCATCAAAGGGGATTTGATTCAGGAAGCTTGTAAAAATCTTCATTCCTTCAATAAATCTGACGATTCCTTCCATTCCTTTTTTCCCCAGTGGTTGAAAAACCCCCTTTCCCCCCTTGGTTTTTGCGCTTCCCATAAAAAAAATAACGCTTGGGACATGGTAGGGAGATAGAAAACCCCGTCATCAGAAGTGTCGCAAAACCCCTGGGCAGAAATATTTTCTTTTTCCTTTCTTTTAACAGCATAATGAAGGGTTTTGAGCATTTTGGGTGAGGAGGAGAAGCGTTTGTGTGATGGAAATGACAAAAGGGATTCTTTTGAGAGATGTGGGAGAAGTTTGTCTGCGTGCAGAAAATCTTAGGCTTGTTAGGGGTAGGGAAAAGTCTTAGTTTTGGGGGGGTGGTGGTGGCAGTGGTAAACGGGGTTTTTAATTTTTTGTTAAGAGTGCAGAGGAAGGGTCTTAGGTTTTTTTGGGTGCGGAAAAGGTTTTGATCATGTGTGCGATGCTGGGATTTTTCTTTTTAAAATTAGTTAGCAGTGGAAAAAAATTTTAAGATTGAGTTAGTGTTTAAGGATTTAAAAAAAAAAAGGAGTGAGGTCGGTAATAGAAAACTTCAGAAAGTCTTTCATTATTTGTGTTATAATTAATAATTATAGAAAACTATAAATATAATATTTTGGGGAAAAAAGGGGTAGATCGGCTGTCTCTTTAAAAGTTACGAAAAATACGTTTAAAAAAGTATATAACCATTAAAAATAATGTTTCAGGGAAAAGTAAAACAAAATCCTTGTGTACAATCTCAGGTGGCTGAAAATTTGAAAACATACATTTCGCTCAATCAACCTTTATAAAGTTTCGGGAACTTTTAAACCTTAAAGGTAGCCCCAAATTTGAGACCCCCCCTAAGCCCGAACTAAGCTTTATCGGGCATTCAACCCTTCGAGCTAACCCTTTCAGGGACATCCTTGCTACAAATTATCTTTAGCCTGGGCACTAAATCTTTTAACTAACTTTTATCTCAAACCTCAAACATTCCACTTGGAACACCAAAGGGCCGAACAAAAACTTTTTTGGGGGAACTCTTCACCTTCGAACCTCTCAAGGGACTCTTGAGCAAGGAATGGACTTGTCCCTGAATTGGATTAAATCTTTTTGCCCCTATTTCCCCTTGTAGCTAAACCTATAATCGGGCCCTCACAGCTGCCAGTCCCATTTTAGGCAAAAAACCAAATCTACATCCATTTAAAAAAATAAGGTGGAGAAACTTTCTCTATGCCCCCCCTTCATGCTCTTGGGACCCAGGCATCACAGTCAAATGTAGGGCGACGGCGTTGCTCTCCCCATCCCCTTGAGTTCGAAGCGAGGAGGTGAAGGGCCCAGCGTCGCGGTAGTCCAGCTGCACAGCGGTGTGGGGTTTACTTTCCAAAATGTTGGCTCGGTTAGGGGCCCGCCCCTGTGCGTGAAAGATGTGGTTTATTTTAAATTTAAACTAAATTTTAGAGTGAACATAATATTAAATATGAGAATTGAATATGTACTGCATTTTGGGAAAGCATCCACAGTGTGAAACGCCCCTTTTGTGAGTGTTCCCACGGGAGAAACTGTAAAAAAAGGGGGAGCTACCGTATTCTGTGCTAAAATTCATGATGGAAGAAATGCAGTTACTTTAAAGCAAAAATGGTCACGTCGAGTATGCGACAGCCCATGGGCAATTACCCTTGTAAATCACCATTCCTCACTTTTCTCCCCCCGTACGAAATAATAGAAAAAAATTAAGTTTGTCTTGAACCCAAACCGATTTTTAAAAGTATTGATCCCGTAGTAACTAAAAATATGTGTTATGGTCCGTCCACCAACTCCAGGGCACATCGGTTATGTCGTAGTTGTGCAGAGCGTGATTTTTGTAAAAAAATTGGTACACACATCCATTTGGACTCCTTTTTTTCAGATTCGGCTGTTGTCATACTCTTTTACTCTGGTGTTATGTAAAAAAAAAAAAGCCAAATTGAAAATGATTCATGTGTTTTAAACGATCCCCAAAAAGGTTGGGGTTTTTTTTAAAACCGTTTTTTCAAAATGGCCTTCAAAACTCGCGGGGTTCTGAATCCTTTTTCAAACGTTTTGGGAAAAAGTTGAGAGCTTTAAAGTTTAAATTTTCAAAAAGGGCCTAAAAAGGGTCTCGTAGGTTCTTAGAACCCGGGGTTTTTTTAAAAAATTCGGCGGGACAGAAAAAAAAAAGGGCAAAAATAGAAAATAGTTGGAAGAAGAGCCATTACTACCATCGGAAATTCCCCCTCAAGAAAAAAAAAAACACGAATAAAAAATGAAAACGGTCAGGTTTCCCTTGCACCAAATGCTTTGAAAGGGATTACGCAAAAATGGGCAGATGGATTTTTTAATTCCAAAAAAAATAAAACCCCAGACTATAGTTAGATTAAAAAGTAACTACGGACTGCCACAGTAAAGATTTGTTCCTCTTTCTTATAAGGGTTATAGATAAGAACAAAAAAATTTTAAAAAATTCTTCCTGTTAACATCAAATTTCATGTGAAGATTCAATGTGTTGAAACACGTGAATCTTCGGAGTGTAGAAATAATAGATGAGCTAAGATTAATTGAAAGTGGGAAAAACATAGAATTTTGCTATAAAGAGACCTGGCTCAATCGAAAATAAGATTTTCCCCTTGAATGTCACATACAAGGTTTAAAAATATTCCCATGACAGGGAAAAGGGAAAAGGGGGGGAGTAGCGAGTATGTCAAGACAATTTAATTGTTGTTTTTGAAAGATTTAAATTAGAGCGTACCACTAATCTGTTTGGTTACAGCTTCTCGGGCCCCGAGAAAAAATAATTTTGGGTTGTGATTTAAGGGGCCCCAAATCTTGTAGGGGTGCGTAAACTTCTATGGGACGAAAATTCGAAGGGATTACATACGAAATGTTTGTGCTAATGGGGGATTTCAATATAGACAGATTGACTGGAGCAATTTACAGGAAATTTGAGTGGGGGACTTTTTTGATACGATCCCGGGTTGTTTTTTAAAAACAGTTTGTGACAGAGCCAATAGGGAAATAACTCCTTGATTGGTTTTGCATAGGGAAAAACCCAATTTAAAAATCTTTAGGTTAATATGAGTTGGGGGGAGTGACACAAATCACTCAGTTTTAAATATCAGGAAATTCCCTAATAATGGCAAAAAAAGTTCCGTCCCCGACTTTCGCTTGGGGGATTTCATAGGGGCGAAAAAATTACTTGGTGGGCTGAAATTTTGGAAAGACCGATAGGGGGCGAGGTGGTGATGGTTGCCGATATGATGCTTTCCAGGGATGTTCTAGTGCTCAGTCAAAATTTGTTCCAAAAGGGAAATCAGAAACAAACAAAAATGTCCTAAAAGGAAAAACAATAGATTAAAATATCGATGGTCAAAAAGAGGCATTATAGGAAATCAAAAGGGAAGGGAATTAAAAAAGATAAATTTTGAAAAGGGGAAAAAAAAAGGGGAAATTGAAAAGCAAATAGAGATTTGAGGTTAAAGTTCAAGAGAAACGAAGACTAACCCAAAGGTTCTTTGGTTACAGAAGTAAGACAGGGACAAGATGGCCCAACAAAAGTTCCCCGGGTCAGCTCAGACAGGATAAGGGAAAAGTGAAATTTTTTTCACAACTTTCCCTCATTTTTACACAGGAGGATACCAGCGAATTCCAGTAATGATAAATTTTTTGAACAGGACGATAATAAACTGTCACTATTAGGGTCAAAGTGACATGGTCCTTTGGGAAAAAGAAAATTAAAACCAAAAAATCCCCCGGCCCTGATAAATGTAGCAAGGGTTTTTAAAGGGAAAGTAAAGAGGGCTTAGACACCCTTTTTCAAAACTTTTTAAATTTCACTACAAATGGCATGGTGCCCGATAATGGAAAAAAGGCAAAAGTGATACCTATTTTCAAAAAGGGGGACAGGTCCTTGCTTCGAACTATAGACCAAAAAGCCTAACCTCCCAAAGGGGAAAAATTTTTGGAATCAATAAATTTCCGAGGCAGTTCTAGCCCCCTTTAAAAAAATAAAAAAATCAAAGAATTCAGCATGGTTTTTACAAAGGGCGTTCCCGCCTTACGAATTTTTTAACTTTTTTCAAAAGGTATTTGAGGAGGAGATATGGTAATGAATAGATATTTTGGTAATGGGCTTCAGTAGGGGTTTTGACGGGTCCCACATCAGACTATTGAGAAAATTAAAGCACATGGAATAGGAGGAAAATTTTTTTGGAAGGGATGGTTGCCAAAAAGGCAGCAGAGTTTGCAAAATGGGGAGAAAATCAAATGGGGAAGCGTCACGCGGGTTCCACGGGTCAGTGTTGGGCCCCCCTGTTCACAATCACAAAAGACATTGATAGGGGATAAAGACACATCGGAAGTTGCCCATGACCCAAAATGGCCTGAATTCATTTTGACGAGGCATTTGAGCCCCCCAGGGAAAATTTGAATAGACTGATGCAGTGGCGGGGAATGGCAGATGCGTTTTTTTTAAAACAAATGCAAAGTTCTAAAAGTTGGAAAGGACAATAACCATGCCCCATATAAAAATAAATAATTGATCTTAAAATTTTTTTGGATTGCGAAAAAGATTTAGGAGTTCTGGTTTTGCATAACTGAAACCAAGAAACAGTGTAAGTGTTCGCAATAAAGCTAAAGAAACCTTGGTTATTAAGAAGAAAAATAATAGGAGTCCTAGGTTGTTCTTTAAATTATACACCCTTTGGGTTTGGCCTCATTTTGATTTTGCGCCAGTTTTGGTCACCGATTACAGAAGGGTTTAAATTCTCTGGAAAATGTAAAAAAGGAGGAGACAAAGATGATCCCCTTTTTCAAAACCTTCCCTTAGGATAGATAAGGGCCCTGAAACTGCACCTCTAGAAAGACGTAAATTAGGGGGGTTGATTTGGGGTTTTAAGTGGAAGACAGGAATAAATAAGGGGTGTAAATAGGTTTTCTGAAAATATCAGCCCAAAGGATCGCAGCAATGGTTTTTTTAATTGGGAAAAAATTTAGTTCGGAGGGATTAGGGAAAAAAACTGGTTTGGTAATAGAGTTTTTGGTGGTGGGAAAAAATCCCAATACCCTTATAGAGGCCCCAAAAGTTTTGTACTTTAAAAATAGGTTGGATAAATACATGAGTAGATGTGGGTGGGTGGAGTTGGACCTGTGCTTTGCAAAAAGTCGGTTGCCGTGTTCCCCCCTAAGTCAATGGACCTGACCTGACTAGGTTGGGTGCATTGGTTAACCGGTAGGGACTTTTGGGCCTGCCCCGCATGGCCCGTAGGCTTTTGCATGTTCCTTGTTCTTATTTCTTTTTTATGTTCTTATGTGAATCAAGTCTTTCAGAGGGCCTCAGACAACAATATGATGTTCAATGAGGTCACGTTTCATTTACACCGTTATGGAAGAAACTGAGTTCAGGAGAAACCTAAATCATTCTAAGGAGTGAAATTTCCAAGTGTGAAACTGTCGGAGTAATAATGTCAGAAGAATTCGCATTCAAAGATCACAGCAATGATTTTATTGTTAGTGTAAACAAAATGATAGGATATATAACTAGAACTTTCAAACATTAGATTCTGAGCCAATGACGATACACTTCGAGCCAGTTCTCTCCAGGATGGATTACTGCTCTATTCTAACGGCCCTCTAGGGCAGGTGAAATTATTGAACTAGTAAATAGAGAACTTTGACTTCCCATATACGTTCAATCAAGCATCCGAACTTCTGGAAATGTTTGAAGCCTCTTCTGCTGTATTCCTTGGAATACAGGCGAGAAAAGTATATCATAATTTACATCCCGAAAATCCAGGAGAGATTGGGCCCACCCAGTACATGAGAATCACTTCATTTCAAAACTTGGTAGACAGAGTACAGTACTTGCAATGAAAAGTAGGGGCTCAACGGGTACACTAAGTGAGAAATCGAGTAGTATCAGAGTTCCTCGACTATTCCAAGGCTCTCCTTTCATGCATAAGGGAAATTACCAACAAACATTTGGCAATCTTCAAGAGAGAACACAAGTTCGTCAAATCAATTCCATTCCAGCCGGGCTGTGGTTCGTGCGTTGGACTGCATGCAGCGAGTGATAACAGCCTGGTTAATCAGGCTGTGATTAACCAAGAGACCTGTTCGGTGCTGGTGCGCTGCGACGTTGAAGTCAAGAGACATGATCACAGTGTACAAGATACTCTGAAAAATATACAAGACATCGAGAAGCTATCCGTAAGTGGACCCTATGCCACTGTCGGGTCCTGAGAGATTATAAATTCATAATATGCAGAGTGAGAATGACAGACGCTGTACGATACCTACAGATTAATCGATTACACGAGAAAACAATAATAAGGAAATAAGCAAGTACCACTGCAGCCTCAAGGCTGTAGTGAACTGGAATAAACCGAAATGACATGGAAACTGGAGCAGCTCATGGCTTCAAAATGAAATACGATAATTACAGATCAGGTTAGCTAATAAGTAGCGGACACTAGAGCTTGGTCAAAATATGAAAATTAAACTTTATAGTCACATACACTTAACATACACTTAACACACACATCCCAAACATCAGACATCACATCACATCACATCACATCACATCACATCACATCACATCACATCACACACACACACACACACACACACACAGATCTACACACACACAGACAACACACACCCCAGACACACACACACAGACCCCACACACACAGACACACACACACAGACACACACACACAGACACACACACACAGACACACACACACAGACACACACACACAGACACACACACACAGACACACAGACACACAGACACACACACAGACACACACACAGACACACACACACACAGACACACACACACAGACACACAAAAACACACACACACACAGAACACACACAGACACACACACAGACACACACACACAGACACACACACACAGACACACACACACACAGACACACCCGACACACACACACAACACACACACAGACACACACACACAGACACACAACACACAGACACACACACACAGACAAAACACACAGACACACACACACAGACACACACACACAGACCACACACACAGACACACACACAGACACAAAACACACAGACACACACACACAGACACACACACACAGACACACACACACAGACACACACACACAGACACACACACACAGACACACACACACAGACACACACACAGAACACACACCCCACAGACAAAACACAGACACACACACACAGACACACACACACAGACACACACACACAGACACACACACACAGACACACACACACAGACACACACACACAGACACACACACACAGACACACACACACAGACACACACACACAGACACACACACACAGACACACACACACAGACACACACACACACAGACACACACACACACAGACACACACACACACAGACACACACACACACAGACACACACACACACAGACACACACACACAGACACGAGAGCAGCTCTAGCTAAATATTTCACCAACTCCACTCTTGCTTTGGCCTGACATTTACTTAATTTCCGGGTCCTCATGCTGTCGTGGGCTAGATCAATAAGGCGGAGAGAATGCGGGAGAGAAGAGGGAGAGAGGCTGGGAAGGAAGCTGAAAGGGAAAGGAGAGGAGAGATGATGAAAGGAAGGCTGCAAGAGCGGCAGGAAATGAAAGAAGGACGAGAGAGATGGAAAATCTGAAATTTCGATTGAACAGGAGGGTATTGTATTTATTTGGATGGTGTCATAGAGCGCCCGGAAATTGTGGGGGGTAATCAGGTCAGTCCAAGGGGAGAATAGCTCCATTTCCTTGGATTAGAGGTGTCGACCGGCATCAAGTCATCCCATGTAGGAACTGAGGGGGGTGATGAAACGTCTGAGAGGGTGCCAGTGGGAGAGAAGAGGGAAAGAAAAGAGGCAGAACGGGTTGATGAAGGATGGGAAGAGCGGAAAGGTGAGAGGAAGAGAACGAAAGAGGAAAATATATGAAGAAAGCTAGAGAGATGCAGAATAAATACAACAGCAGCTAAGCGAGAAGCTGAAAGACAGGAAGAGTGAAAGAGAAAGAAAAAGATGTTGAAAGAGAAAAACAGGTTAAAATTGAGAGAGAGAGAGAGAGAGAGAGAGACTGAATGACTGACTCAAACACACAACACGAAAGGAATTTACCCTGACGTGCGTCACCTGGGCTTCTGGTCCGTATTTTTCACATCGCCGGTTTTAATAACACTGATGGCAGTCTGAGGATAATTCACCATGACCGGAGCCGGATAATCGAACATTAACTGGACCTGGATAAGTCGAACACTGTTACGGGAGCCGTATAGGCATGTGCGATGACCGGAGCTGGATAATCGAACACTATGGCTGGAGGACGGATAAAGGATAAATCGAATCTTGGCTAATCAGTCTTTCATAGCTTGGAATAAACATGACCGAAGCCGTGTCGAAACACCACAATTGAAGCTGTACAGTCGAACACCACAACCAAAGCACCACCACCGAAGCAGTGCAGTCGAATCATGACCCGAGCCACCACCAAAACAAAAGCAAAACTTGCCTTTTTATATCTCAACTAATCCCCCGTCTTTCTTTCAAGATTCTGATCGTCTGCATTTAAAAGCAGCTTGTTACAACACCAATGGCGAGCGAGGGTTGGGGGAAAAAAATGAGAATTATATTACAATTGGAAGCAATAGAGGAAGGAGGAGGGGGGGAGAGGCGAGAAGGTTTAAACCTGTTTTGTTGTCTCTAAGGGCAGCTATTGCTTGCGTTTTGTGGCCATGAATGCAAAGAGGTTACCGGTGGTCCATTGTATGTAGCCGGCCAGGTCAAAATTAAAGACGGTAAAGATCTTTTTTTTTGTTAAGGGATATTGCTTGCTGTTGCGATAGGCAGAGACTAGAGCAGAGAAATATATGACAAGGCCACAAAAGAATTAAAATGCAAATAAAAACGAGGAAAAAATGAAGAAAAAAATTAAAAAATAAAACTTTTTTTATAATGGTTAAGCAATAAACCCGCAGGGTCATAAACCGCCCTACAAGAATGGGACTAAATCAGCTTTGATCAAGAGAATGGGAAAGTAGCTTTAATTCCTTGGATCAACAGGGGAAAGGGGGGGAATATGTGCACCTTTATGCTGGTCAAGTGCTCTTGATACGTGGAATTAAGAGCTAGTCTCTTTCCTGGCTCGCCCCTTGCTTCCCCAGGCTCTAAACTTATGCATGCTGGTTTAGCGCTTCTCCACGAATGTGTATAACAGGATCCAAAATCTGGAACTTCCTACCAGAAGTCTCTGGAGTCTCTATCCGCAAGCACCTTCAAATTATCATGGGGAGCGCTAAACCCGTAGGGATTATACAGATCCAGTTTCTTAAATCAAGAGCCCTTCACCAGAGGTGCAGCTTCAAGGCCACTGTTAAAAAAAAAAAAAAACTTAATATATCCTAATAACAATTAAATATGATAAATGTATTAAATATGACAAATAGTTCTCTCAATCACAAATATGTGAAAAACTATGCAGGTGCTTAACGACCTACCTGCTTAACGACCGCTCGGACTTACGACGAGCTCTCCAACCAGTGTACTGTATGTGTACGTAATTTACTTTTTGTTGTTGTTTTTTAAATAAATAGTGCAATGGTGACATTAAAGCAATATCTAAAGATGGTTGAGACAAACCCACTACCCGTACAGCATGCCTGAAATATCAGTAAGGGGCGGCTTCTCTCTTAACGACCACTTCGCTTACCAACATATTCTTAGGAGCGGAACTCGGTCGTTGAGAAGTACCTATATATTCTTATTCTCTCATTACACTTGTAATCATAATCCAACTTTAAATAATAATTGTCATTTTGTTCTCCTTATAATGCCTAAGATTGTTGTTTATATACCCTTAGTGTCCTTGTAAACAAACAGTTATTAGTAACTGGATATTAAGTTAAGCTTAAGCTTACCCGAAATGTTCTGCATATTTATGGGCTTACTGCACTCACTACTAATTATTATAATAAAAAAGAAGACACTCACTACTAAATGTCACCCATCTCTGTACAAATATTGTATCATGCTAAAATTAATTATTATTACTATAACTGTAATTTAGCTTGGTTGAATCGCGAGAGGGAAAAAAATTGGTTGACTTATAATGGTTTGTATAAAATCAGTTTTAGTATTGTAGTTAATGTTCATGGTAGTTCTTGCTTGACTCAACCATTCACTGAATATACTGTCATCCATGAGAGTTTTGGGCTCACCAGGGAATATAATAATGATCATCTGACTGTACTATCTTCGAAGCACTTCCCGAACGCTCGTAAAGAGGTCTTAAACTGGAGTACACACAGTGTGTAGGTACGTGAACACTGTGCACAGTGTGAAGAAATGTGTACATACAGTGAGGATGTACGCACACAGTGGGAAAGTATGTGTACCGATGTGTGCACCAAATGGTACTTAAAAAAAAGGTAATCAAGCTAAAAACCACCTAATGGAGGATACGCTGTGGAACCAGACGACAAAAGTCCACCACACCAAAAGTTCGACTGGGACCTCACAGCGTGGCACCAGCAGCAGTACCGAAATAGACAACCATCAAACATTCAAGATACTCAGGTTTTACCTGGAGTTCGAGTGAAAGCCAGAGGAACTCCAGGAAATGAAGACGGGAAGAAACCCTTAACTCTTCAGTGTTTCAGGCTCCAGCTTCTCAGGTAGGTAGGTAGGTAGATAGATAGATAGATAGATAGAGAGATAGAGAGAGAGAGAGAGAGAGAGAGAGAGAGAGAGAGAGAGAGAGAGAGTCAGATGCAGAGAGATTGACTAGTGCATGGAACATGTTTGTACAGCCCAACGACATCAAAGAAATACAGTCAACTTAATCCTGTTCCTTATTTGTATATCTCATAACGTACAAAGGCTTTCAAATGAGCTGATGTAGGTAACAGCTCTTAGCTTGTAAATAAAGTTAGGAATCCTAAACCTAACCTTGTAGAACCCTGTGAGAGAGAGAGAGAGAGAGAGAGAGAGAGAGAGAGAGAGAGAGAGAGGAGAGAGAGAGAGAGAGAGAGAGAGAGAGAGAGAGAGAGAGAGAGAGAGAATTGGTACCCATCGATCACGACCATTAGGACGGAGTGAATTTACATGATGGAAAAGAAA